AAACAAGGATAGAACTTTGTAGATCAAAAGAAATTCTTGTTAATTATATTCTGACTTATGATTCTCATTATATTGGCAACCTTTGTTAATTGCTGAATATTGATTTGATTGTAATAATGGTATGCAGCACTTTGTGGGATGGGGGAAAGAAGAGGACAACTAGTAGCAAGGTGGAAGGACTCAGTTGCAATGGTAATGGGTGCATTACTGGAAGACCTGAAAGACCAGGATGGGACAGATCATTGCAGAGAACATTTATCTATGTGGTCATTAAGAGTCAACACCAACTTGAAATTTTTACTCAGTTTTATATAGCTTTTAAATCTCTTTTCTACTTGCTTTTTGTTTTTCCTCTTTATTGTCCATTTTTTAATTTTCCAGGAAGTACTTTTAAACCTCTACTGAGTAAATCTTAAAACTGGTGATGCTTATGTTATTGGTAATTTTGATATTTTTCCATGTTACATAAAATATTTATTATAAAGTATGTTATTCTCTTCAAGTTTAACTGGAGGGGTTTTATGGATTTATTGCATGTTTTTATGGTTTGTTGAAGTGATTTTCTAAGGAGAAACAGAATATAAGTGGCTAAAATAATAATAAATTATCTATGTTTTGTCTTAGCATATGACAAAGGTAAAAACCTCTTTGAATTGAGTTCCATGGGCATCTCCTTACTGTTTTCTTGACAGCAATACAGAAGTAGTTTCCCACTGCTGTCTCCAGAGATTTTTTTCACATTTCCAGTCTAGTATACAGTCCAGTCTCAGAGGAGAGCATGGGAAGGTTGTCCCAGCATTTTTTTTTTTTAAGCCTTCTCCAACCTGGTGTACTCCAGGTGTGTTGGATTTCATACTGACTGGAATCTTGGAAGCTGAAGCACAAAACTTCACGTCAAAACTTCTGTAAATCATACTATCTTGATCAATAAAATTATTACATGCACCAAAACAGTCACTAAACATTGATGGCTATTGTTATTTTGCACAATTCCCAATACATTAGTTCTTAATCAAACTCCATGGGGCAAAAAGCCAATCAGTGCATATGCAGACATACAGCTGCAGAGTGCAACTATACCTTAAAAGCTAACCCTTTTTCCTGAAGAAAAAATTTCAAGTTCTGTCAAGTTGTTAATATTCATACGGTGTGCTATGGAGAATATTTCTTTAGAAAATACGTACTTACTCTTTCACTGCTACACTCATTTTTATTCACGACTCCAATTAAAAGTAATTGCTTGAACGGAAAAAGTAGTGCAGGTCATATCACATATTATAGCTGAAACAGCTAAATGTAAAAGTCATCCACTTCTTCTGCATCAAGCAAAGCAAAAAAGGCTGGATCACAGAGAAGCCATAAACCATGATTAATATGCAAAAATGGTTGGGTTTGCACAATATGAGCCAAAACTAAACAAATCCCAATTAATTTAGTTTGATTTGTGAGCTTAATCTCTGAGCCCAAGTGTTTGGTGATAATGATTGTCCTAGCAAGATTTTTCCGCTTTTTTTAATTACATACGTGCATAAGCTACATGTGTTAAGATTGAATACAAACATGAATATATCCTTCACAGGGAGAATGGATAAGTAAAACAATACTGGTACTATGCACAATGATAAGAACATAACAGCAGATAAACACAATAGTAACAGTTCACAAGGTTTGGAAGAATAAACTTTGCCTAGCAATATTATGTATTAACTATTTTTGTGTGTTTGGGTTTATTTTTGTTGTTCTTTGGGTCTCTGCGGTGGATTAAATCTGATTGTCATAACATGTCTTGGTAGTAGTGCTGGTTTGGAAAGAACTTTCTCTAGTGTCTAGAACATGGGTGGACAATCCTTTTCTACATTTGCCAGCAGTCTAACCTCAAAAGGAGAGGCAACTAGAAGAAGCATTACCATCACACCTAGGAGTTGCCATTTTTTAGTGAAGACCACACTCCTGGAGAAGAGTAGAAGTATCTGGATATAAAAGTAAACTTACACAAACTCTTAGAGTCAGCTTTATTGTTGATGCTGAGGTATTGTCTATTTCCCAGAGTCCTTTTTAAACATTTTTATTTGATGCACCATCTGCACCCTCACCTGGAGGATACAGACTCCACCACTGTCATCATTGCAGAGATCCCACTACTTCAGCGGTTTTAAAGATGTTGCAAAAAAACCCAAAAAGTATTTAAAGTTACAGCTTTGCACCTGAAAAGCTTAACAATACATTAATATCTGTATTTGTAGCAGGATAACATATGGAGGACAGTTCATATAAATGTAAGATTCTCTAGGAACATTTATAATCTCTAAGAAACAATGTCCTGAGCATTTAAAAGAGAGTTTACACAGGAAAAATAAAATTCTTAATAGAAGTAACTTCAGGGTAGCTCTGCTTGAGTTGAATCTTTGAAAAGAAATGATACTGTGAAGAGTATCTGTGAATCTTTTTCATATAAGTCCACAGGTACATCTATGTCAGTGTTTCTCAAACTTAGCAACTTTAAGATGTGTGGATTTCAACCCCCAGAATTCCCCAGCCAATTCTGGGAGTTGAAGTCCACGCATCTTAAAATTGCCAAACTTGAAAAACACTGATCTACATTGGTCCTAACTGACCTTCAGCTATCTGTAATCCTAGGCTTCTAGGTCAATATTTTTCACACAATAAATAATGCATTATTGCATTACAAGAGCAATACTGCTACTGTAATAATAAATAAACTCTATGTGATTGTTTTTTACAGAGATGGAAATGGGTCCTCAAAATGCCACATTGTATTTGCGTTCTCAATATACTTAATCAAAGGTCTAAAGCTTCCCAAAATATGTATACCCATGAAGATCCAAGTACAAGTCACTTATTCTGGGGAAAAGAACTTGTTAAAATGTTAACTGTCATTCATTATTCTTTCTATGCCCAAGGAAACTTTGGAAATCTTTGTGCTGCTTGCCTTTTTTTTTTTTTTTTTTTCCAATTTATAAACAAAAATGTGAGTATAGAACTATGGAACATTTTTTTCTTTTTAAAAAGAGTTTTATGTCAGCTGTGCCATAACAACAATTCTCTCTAAGCTTTCCTGATCTAGGGTGCAAACAAAGGGAATATTATTTCTACTAGATTTCTAAAATGTTGCAGCAAAAACATTCCATTGTAAGCAAGTTTGGATAAGTGACTAACCAGAACTAAACAGCTGAATCTTGCACTACGTATTTATTTATTTGTTAATTTATGGTCCAAGACCAAATCACAGAATTTAAAATACATATGTCCCAATATATGCATATCTAAGAGTTAGTTTTGTCCTATAAAACTAACAATTCACTGAAGGACCAAACGGTTTCTATAAGCTAAGGCTATAAATAAACATTTTGCTACTGCCTTCTAAACACCTGGGTATTGATCATTTAGTAAGAATGCCTCAATCTCCTCACCATGCGTAGAGTTTATCAAATTCAAGTATGGGTATATTAGCTCTGATCGCCAATGAGAGTACAGCGGGCACTTTAAAGGGATGTGTAAAACAGACTCAACCTCTGTGTTTGAGCAAATACATACTCAATCTTCATATGAAAGGTTGGCACATCAACCAGCTGTCACCCTAATAGGGAGAGCATCTATATGGGCTAGGGAGAAGAGCCTTCTTTGTGAGGTGTACAAAATCTTATAGAAGTAATAGGGGAGAGAGTTGTACTATCTAACATTGCATTCCTCGATTAGACTGAAGATCCAACAAGTGAAATAATTTACCCCCTCGGTATTTTCTGATTACATGTATGCTACCAGTGACAATGGCAGCTTTGTTCTTTGGGCAAGGTGAAACATACAACTAAGCGATGATCCCAGACAATGTTACTAACACTACAGCGATGTGGCTTTAGCTAGCAGTTAGATGGAAAGTCACCAGGGAACCTTATGCATGCCTGCATTATCTGCAGGCTAATTTATTATTTAATAAAACAAAGTTGTATGAATGAATGAATGAATGAATGAGTGAGTGAGTGAGTGAGTGAGTGAGTGAGTGAGTGAGT